AGTGTCCAGTTTGTGTGCTAGAAATCTCAAAACACCTGAAATACATATACCGAAATTCCAATGTATTAATTCACACTGGAGTCTAGCTGTTCCTTGCCAGTGATGGGATTACTCCTGCCCTTCCTTCCATAAGAAATGGGGATAGACTCAGCCACCAAGAGGTTGCCTTGAATGTGAACTCCGTGCACAGTGAGATGGGGAGCCTCTTAGGGAACTTCTCACTTGGGCCTACTACTGCTAGATTATAATACACATTATAATAACATCTATGAGGGTTTCACATGTGCCAAACACTGTGCTCAGCATTTTCTATTTTTTTAAAAATATTTTATTTATTCATGAGAGACACACAGAGAGAGGCGGAGACATAGGCAGAGGGAGAAGCAGGCTCCCTGTGAGGAGCCTGATGAGGGACTGGATCCCAGGACCCGGAATTAGGACCTGAGCCAAAGGCAGATGCTCAACCACTGACTGAGCCACCCAGGCATCCCTGCTCAGCACTTTTTAGTCATTAACTCAGTTGAACTGATATTGTTACTAACCTGATACTGCCAATGGGGAAACTGATGCTCAGGTAAATAAGGTTGTTAGCCCCAAATCAAGTGCTAACATCCAAGTCCATAGAAAATGAAGTTTTTTTTTTTTAAAGATCTTATTTATTTATTCATGAGACACACACACACACACACACACACACACACACAGAAGCAGAGGGAGAAGCAGGCTCCATACAGGGAGCCCGATGTGGGATTCGATCCCAGAACCCCGGGATCTCACTCTGAGCCAAAGGCAGATGCTCAACCACTGAGCAACCCAGGTATCCCAGAAAAGGGAGTTCTAAGAGCCACACAATAGGGGATTAGATAAAATACATCGTTATCCTAGAATAATTTATATCCACTAAATGTGTAAGGGTATAATGTAAAGGTAACAATTATATGAGCTACTCTAAAACTTCTACTTAGCGAGGATACTATAATATTTAAAATATAAACATTAAAAAATACAGGTTACCAAAAAAGTATGTACCATTCAATTTTTAAAGTATAAAAGTTATAGAAGGATAGTCAGTAAAAGTGGTTACATGGTAGGGTGCCTGGGTGGCTCAGTCAGTTAAGCACCTGACTCTTGATTTCAGCTCAGGTCATGATCTCGGGGTCATGAGACTGGGCCCTGCATCAGGCTCTAAACAGAGTCTGCTTGAGATTCTTTTTCCCTTTCCCTCAGCCCCTCCCCTCTCCCCCATGCTCGAGTGCTCACTCTCTCTCTAATAAATAAATAAATATTTTTAAAAAGTGGTTATTTGGTTATATTATGCTGAGTGGACACAGATCAGAGGGGATCACAAATGCCTTTTTCTCTCTCAGTTGGATTTTCCAGTTTTCCTTCTATTATGGACTGAATTGTGTCCCCACAAAATTCCTCTGTCAAAGCCCTAAATCCCAACATGGCTGTATTTGGAGATAAAGGAGGTCACAAGGGTGGGGCCCTAATCCTTTTTAAGAGGACAGTCTCCTCAAGCAAGCACCAAGGGAAAGCCATGTGAGGACATGGTGGGAAGGCAGCCGTCTACAAGCCAGAAGAGAGGCAGAAACCAACCCTTCTGGGACCTTGATCTTAGACTCCAGCTTTCAGAGCCATGAGAAAGTACAATTCTGCTAAGCCAGCCCAATTTGTGGCAGCCTGAGCGGATGAATACACCTACAATGGAACTACATGATTTACATCTTTTAAAAAGGATCCGAGCTTGGTTTTATGTTTTTTTGTTTTTAAAAAGATACTGCTTGACTTCTTGTTCCCCACTGGGGGCAAGCCAGGCCTGGGAAAGGAGAAGGAATGAACAGGGTCTAAGTGTCCTTTAGCCTACTGCTTTACAGAAATCCTGCGACAAGTGTCCTAATGTCCACACCGACAGATGGGAACATGGGAGGCTCAGGAAACATGAACTGTCTGACCCTCAATCACCAGCAGGGAAGCAGCAGAGCTGGGGTTGGGATCCAGGTATATCTGATCCCCAGATACACCTGAGCCCTTTTCTCTGCAGACGACTGTCTCCATATAGAGCAGATGCTGAACGGGGCACAGCCATGGGTAGGCTGGGGTGGGAGTGGAGGACATCCTTCAGTTTGTAAGGATCACTCAGGAGATTCTGTTTCCAAGTTTTGGGCAGGATGAATGGTTCTCCCGGAAGTTAGAAGTCACCTTAAGAAATTCACTGTGAAAACTCCTAACAGTGAATGCATCTAATGTCTACATCCATTACAACAGGGCCTACTGGCTTAGGAAGCTACAGGGACCCCCAAAATGCCATAAGGGTGTGGTGGAGACCACGGCAGATTGGTAAAGCATGTGTACCACCTAACATACAGTTGGCTGCTCCTTGTTCCGGCCAATTACTCCTGGAGTGGATTGCAAGCATGGCCACCACTATTCCAGGTTTTAAAGAACCTGGAGATCCAGATGTTCACATGAAATCTATTTTAAAATATGTTAAGAAAAAAAAACTGGCTGGTACGGAAATAACAAAACATATTTGTGGGTTGGATCTAAGCCCTCATATTGTCAGTCTGCAGCCTCTACATGAGATAATTCTTGCCAGTCCTAGGGGCAATATGTTAGTTAGCATAGCAGTAGCTACTGTAAGAGATAAACCACCAAATCACAGTGTCTTTTTTTTTATTTATTTATTTATGATAGGCACACAGCGAGAGAGAGAGAGGCAGAGACACAGGCAGAGGGAGAAGCAGGCTCCATGCACCGGGAGCCGGATGTGGGATTCGATCCCGGGTCTCCAGGATCGCGCCCTGGGCGCCAAACCGCTGCGCCACCTAGGGATCCCATCACAGTGTCTTTACACAGTTTTTCACTCACATAGTCTAATTAGCAGGTTGGGGGCGGGGTAGGGCAGGGAGTTCTCTGCCAACTTTATCATGTGGCTTCCAAGATCACCCAGGCATTGCTATCCAATGGGCATTGCTATCCAAGCAGAGGACCTCATGGGAGGTTTTTATGGGTAGCAGTCCTCCTTACTTATGCCCTCGTTCCATTGGCCAGAATTTAGTCCTGTGGCCACTTCACCAAAATGCAAAGGGGAGCTGGGAAATGTAATCTCTGGCCAGTTCCAGCAAGAACTGTCCTATAGATTGGCTGTGCAGACCTGTGGGGCAGTTATCTATCTCTGCCCCACGCAGTTACCGTCCTCTCCATTTTACAGATGAAGAAATGAATCTCAGAGACGCTAAGTGACCTGTGGGAAGTCTTGCAGCCAGGAGCACTGTCTTTCTGACTCCAGTCCAGGGACCTTTCCTCTACCTCAGTGTTTTCCCAAACTTTCCATTTCATAAGAATCATCCATGGCACTTGTTAAACATACAAGTTCCTGAATATTTAGGGGAGAGTGTGGTAACCTGTATTTTCATCAAAAATCCCAGATGATTCCCCTATCAGACTCTGCACCCAGGGCTGCACCTCAGAATCATCTGGGAAGCTTTGTGAAATGTTAATCTCTTGGCCCTAACCTCTAGAAATTCTGATTCAGTGGGTCTACAGGGAGGGGCCCTGACAGCGACATTTTATAATATTCCCAGGTGACAGTGATGTACATTGGGCTGGGAACCTCTGCTCCCATACCAAATTAGGCTGGTAAGTTTTTCAAACTAAAGTAACAATAGAGAGAGAGAGAGAGAGAGAGAGAGAGAGAGAGAGGAATTATTGAGCCAGCATCTTAGGAACTCTTTAAATGATTCTAATATGCTGTCTAGGTTGAGACCTTCTCAATAAATGGATCAAAAGCCTGAATCAGTAGGTTTGGGGTAATCCAAACTTTATATTTCTAAAGCTCCTCCAGGGTATTATGATACCACTGCTCTAGGGCTCTGCTCCTCAAAGTATCCTCTGAAGTATCAGCATATCTCTGCAAGCTTGTAGGCAGAATCTCAGGTTCTACACCAGACCTGATGAATGAAATCCCCAGGAAATAAGCACATGCTCTAGGCACATTGGCTCTTTTTTGGGAAGACAGCATATTAGGGTCTCCAATCAGGGCTGGCTCATCTTCTCTCCATCCCCATACACCCTTTTGAGGCTGCAAGAGGTTTTCTAGTATCACTAGCATAGTCTGTCCTCAAAGGTCTGGGCCTTGATGCCCCGGTGCCATGGCCATCTGTTCATGAATACTTTGTTTGGTCTGGGCATGCGCATGGTTTGATCAATCAACAGGGGACTTGCAGGACCTTTCTGCCAGGGAAGGACATCACAGGTGCTGGGTTCTGTCTTGGGGACAGACTGTGGGATTGGGTGCTTCACATGAAGACCTAAAGCTCTTTAGATCTGCAGGTTGGAGAAGAAGGAAGACTTGTTTTGTGAGGTTCTGGGACCAATCAGAGGAAGCTACAGGGAGAGAGGTTGAAGTTCAATATAGGGAAAAGTTGCGAACAAGCAGGGGCAAAACTAATGGTAGTAAGCTTCCTGTTCCCCAAAGAGGACAAGCAAAAGTTGAGTGGCTTTATTGCAGGGGCACTCAGAGGCAACATCTGGACAGCATGCAAGCTGGAAAGAGAACTCCCTTCAAGGCTAAGACATGTAGACCTTGTGAGGCTGTGAGGCTGGGGCAAGGAGAACTCGGGGAGTGAGATGATTCCAGGTTCTAATGTGCCAATCATGTGTAAAGGAAGTTTGCTTAAACACAAACATGACTGCTTGTGCATGAAATAATTTCCGTGCTGGTCTCTACAAGTTTGATAGCTGCGAGGTCAGTGGCTGGGCTGCCTGTGGAGTCCACAGCATCTGACACAGATACAACAGCATCTGTCCAGTAAATATTTGTTAACTTAAATGCAAGTGGCTGAACATGATCGTTAATCTGTCTCTCAATGGTAATTTTTGTATGCTGTGGGACAATTTGGCATCCTTTTGTGCCCTTTAAAGCATCTTTGTCAGGTATTCAAATTGTCCATTTTTCTGCTTGCTTTCTTAATAAGTGCTAATTCTTTTTCATCCAGTTCGTAGCTGCATGGCATTCTTTGTCATGGCAAAACAACTCAAAACATTCTAAGCCGCCCATGAAGAGGGGTTGTTAAATCATTCAGGGGCTCTCCTCCACAAAGCCCACCCACCAATCCAAGTTAAGGACCTCTTTTCTGCAAGGATCCCAACAAGATGCCAACAGCATGGTTTCTGGTGAGTGTTCTCTATGAACTACTTTGTACTTGGTTGTATCTTGTTTTTATTTGTTTTTTTCCTGTTCTGAACATCTATTGCTTTTGAATAAGAAAAAGTAACCAGCAGGAACTAAACAGGTTTTAACTCTATTTTAGATCTCTAATTTATTTTAGCCAGTTTTATCTAGTTAGCAATGTTATTATTTGAGAAAATTGCACACTGAAAAACAGAGCAAATGCTTCTAATAACTACTTAACAAGGAAGCTGAGGCCCAGAGAAATAAGTGATTTATCTGTCCCAGGACACATGAGGCAAGAGCAGAACTCAGGCCCTGATTTGCAGATGGGTGCTCTTTCTTATACATCATTTTCTTCCCTTCCCACTGTGAACCTCTTACTGTTTTCCCTCACTAAATCAGCAAGGCAGGGGTGCCTCGGGCATTTACCACCTCACAGGTTCGATATTTCATTTCACTGACTGGATTTGTGTAGATTTCAGAGCTAAGAGAGCCATCAGACAAGGCAGCCTCCACATATGCCTTTGCTTACTGGAAAACCACAACAGGCTACAGATCCAATGCAAAGAACTTCTGGAAGAAGCCCTGTCCCTGGCACCAGGACCAGGAGGCGTCTCCCCATTTTGAAGTCTGCTATTGGGCGATCTGCGAAGGCTGCGGGCAAGTCTGTGCCATTTCTGCCACGTGGGACATTTTCTTGGGAGTTTCCAGGATTACTGAGAAGTTCTCCATGGACGTGTCCTCCAGTCTGGCCCTGGTTTCTCTGAGCCAAGTGAAAGGTGCACAGCACTTTTCCAGGAGCATGCTGAGCAGGGCTTAGGACTGGGCTCCACAGCTTTTCCATTTGATAGGATTCAGCTGAGAGAATGTGAAAAGCATTCATGCTGCACCAGAACCTATGCCAGCAGATTCAGGCTCTGCAGGAGCACCAGGGGCTTGGTTCAGCTGTGACAGGCTGGAAAATTCACAGGGTGAATGGATCTCAGGTTTCACAGCTGAGAAATGAGCATAAGTTTTTGGTTTTTTTTTCCTGGCATCTGGGCAGATGAATCCATGGTGTATGTTCTGGGTATCCTAAGGTTAGCTGCAGAATACATTTTATTTTGGGGTACTGGTCTGTGATAAAGAGTATCTCTGGGCTAAGATGATTCTCCGAGGTGGTTTCTAGGTCTGGGTGTCCACTAGGAAAAGGTGCTTTGGAAGTGCAGTAGAGAAATTCTGAAGGCCAGAGGATGAGAGACTTGAACCTGAAGCACTGACAGGTTCTCAAGGCCGACACTAAAGAATTCTTTTTACTCCTTATCAGGAAAAGGGAAACAGGCACTTACAGGACTAAATTTTAAGAAAAGATTGCATAGTAATAATCAAAGAGGTATCGATTAAAAAAAAATCTGTGGCTTTTCAAGAAAATTATAAAAATAACACATATTCATCATAACAATTTCAAATAATACATAATCTAAGAAGTAACTATAACTCCATTCTCCTGGAGAGGTACAACATAAAATAAGGTATCGTTTTTCAAACTATCAGATAAGCAAGCTTTAAAAAATGGTAATTTCCAGCATCGGCAAGGGTGGAAGCCAGGGTTTTTTAACCTCAGCACTACTGACATAATTTTTTGTGGTGGGGGCTCTCCTGTTTATCATAGGATTCTCAGCAGCACCCCAGGCCTCTACCCACTAGGTACCAGTAGCATCTCCAGCACTAGCTCCCAGGCAGGCTATGACAACCCAGAATGTCTCCAAATACTGTCAAATGTTCCCAGGGGGTGGGGTGCAAAATGACCCCCTGCTAAGAGCCCTTGTAGGCAAATGGACAACCGAAACACCTTTGGTGGGAGGGGTATCTGGCAGTATAACATACTTAACAGATATTAAAATTTGTGTCCTGGGGCACCTGGATGGCTCAGTTGGTTATGCATCTGCCTCCAGCTCAGGTCATGATCTCAGGGTCGTGGGTTGAGCCCCACGTGGGTAGAGCCTCATGTTGTCCATGTCCTGCTCCCTGCTCAGCAGGGAGTCTGCTTCTCCCTCTTCCTCTTCCCTCCCCCTACTTGTTTTCTCTTATTCTCTTTTCTCAAATATATAAATCTTTTTTATTTTTTTAAAATATTTTATTTATTTATTCATGAGAGAGAGAGAGAGAAAGAGAGAAAGGCAGAGACACAGGCAGAGGGAGAAACATGCTCCATGCAGGAAGCCCAACGTGGGACTCGATCCCGGGTCTCCAGGATCACGCCCTGGGTTGAAGGCAGCACTAAACTGCTGAGCCACCTGGGCTGCCCAAATAAATCTTTTTAAAAAAATCTTGTGTCATAAGGAACTTCAGTTCAAAATACACTTACAGGGATACAGACTTGTTGGACGAGCACTAAAGACAATAATGGTTAATGGTGCTAGTGGTTAATGCAGACACTATTGGTAACAGTCTAAAAATTGGTAATGATCTAAATAACATTGGCAGGAAATTGGTCAAATATCTGTCTACCTACTTACCTGTCTATCTGCAAAATACCCAGACATAAAACTGAATTAGGCAGCTTTGATATAAAGACGTCTTCAGGGCAGCCCGGGTGGCTCAGTGGTTTAGTGCCACCTTCGGCCCAGGGCGTGATCCTGGAAACCTGGGATCGAGTCCCACGTTGGGCTCCCTGCATGGAGCCCGCTTCTCCCTCTGCCTGTGTCTCTGCCTCTCTCTCTCTCATTCTCTCATGAGTAAATAAAATAAAAATCTTTAAAATAAATAAATAAATAAATAAATAAATAAATAAATAAATAAATAAGTCTTCAAGATAAAATTGTTAAGGAGTAAAAAGCAAGGTACAGAAGAGTGTAGAGAACATTTTTGTAAAATTTAAAGAAAATTGTACTAGTAAGTGGGTGTGTGTGTGTATATATATATGTATATAAACATACGTCAAAGTCTGTATGGATACATGTTTCTAAACTCTGGAAGAAAAAAAAACTCTGGAAGAAAGTGCACTAAACCACAAACTGTGGCTATCTTTCTGTAGAGTAGGATGGAGGGGTACAAGGGGAACCTCTGGGATTTTCCATCTCTATATTTCAGAATCATATCATTTTACAACAAGGACACTGCAAAATAATAGAGAAAAATGAGAAGTAGAAAAGAAAAAAAAAAAGGAGAAAAAAAAAGTAACACTGGTTGGAGTCCTGACTGCTCTTACCTGAAGTAAGAAAACCTGGCTTAAATGCTTGCCCTGCACTTCAAAGGTCCCAGGCAGCATCAGAGGCACCCCGGCACCAGATCTTCAAAGCAATTCTTCTAACTGGCAGAGTGGGGTAATTATTTCCATCCTGCAAATGGGGAAACTGAGACTTAGGGAGTGCCAGGATTCACCCAAGGGCCTATCTCTCCAGAGTTCCAGGGACTACCCTCACAAAGTCACAGGAGCAGGTCCAGCCACAGGCTCCCATAAGCACGGATCTAAGAAGCCTGCCCTGTTCAAGTGCTCCTACTTACGGCCTCTACTTCTTCGACTCTTACTCCTTCAAGCAAAGCTGGTATTATTCCTCCCCCAAGATTATGTTCCTCCTTCTGGGTCTCCTTCACTGAGGGCATCATTCTTTAGGAAGAGGAGGGATTCGAGATCTGACTCTGGCAGTCACCAGCTCAACTAGTGGCTTCTCCTCTCTGGGCCTCACCTGTAAAATGGAGACAAATGTACCTAACTCCCAGAATTTTTTTTAGGCTCAAAGGAATCATGTTTGTGAATGCATTTTGTAAAACAGAAGGCACTTGAAAATATTACTTTTATTTTAGCAAAAGAAAACTCTAGCTCTCTTCCTATGGGGGTATTTCAAACCTGAAATATTGTACAAAGATTTGCAATACATTGCAGTATGTTGAGAGGGTCACATAGAGTCCTGAAAATGGGTCAGTCCATCTAAGCTAGTACGTTACCTGAGCCAGGTTCCCCTAGAACTTTTTACTGGGCTTGGGGACCTGTGCTGTTACCAGAGAGAGGTGCCAAAATGCTAAACATCTTAGGGCAGAGGAGCAGGGAAATAAGAAAATCCAATGGAGTGCATTGTCAGTACCAGGAAGTAGATTTCTACTCACAGGAAAACAGACTGGGTGAGAAGCAAGTTAGTATGTCTGTCTAGGGCTTATGGGAGTGCTCAGTATGAAGAGTAATGTATGCAGAAGCACCTGGGGCAAGGTTTCATCTCCTCCTACCCCAGAGAATTGTGGTAAAATCGACCTTGTCAAGAACAGCAGCAACAGTGGGCAGACTTAAAAAAAGCTCATCTCACAGATGGAGACGGTGTAGTGAGGTGGGCCCTGGGAGTATGTGATTGAAAACCTTGCCTTTATGCAATTTCTCAGGACATTACTGGAGACTTTAAACAGCTCATCCGGGGGATCCCTGGGTGGCGCAGCGGTTTGGCGCCTGCCTTTGGCCCAGGGCGCGATCCTGGAGACTCAGGATCGAATCCCACGTCGGGCTCCCGGTGCATGGAGCCTGCTTCTCCCTCTGCCTGTGTCTCTGCCTCTCTCTCTCTCTGTGTGACTATCATAAATAATTAAAAAAAAAAAGATTAAAAAAAAAATAAACAGCTCATCCCTTCTTTAGGTGTAAAATTCTATTCTATGAAAATAATCAGACTCATAGTCAGATGTAGATACAGACACACAGAGACACTTTTATATGTACATATACACATAAACATTTTCAGCTCAGAGTTATTAGAGCAAACATACATACCCCAACTGCCCAAAAATAGAGGAATAGTCAACTACAGAAGAAATTATGAATATATTTAAATAACAAACTATTACACAGTCATTAAGATCATGTTTTTGAGGACTACTTTGTTGACTTGGAAAATGCTTACAATAGTTAATGAAAAATAGTAGAATATTAAACTGTATACGCTGTTTATCAGCAATTAACACATATACATTTATAATAACAATAGCAGCAAGGATGTACTGGAGCTGTAAGCCAGGCAGTGTCCTATTATTCACACAACTCTCTCCAAGTCCTCTGAGGTGGGTACTATCATTACCCCCATTTCTCAGAGAATACATGAAGGCGCAGGGGCTTGGGCAGCACGTCCAGGGTCACACAGAGGAGTGGGGATGGTGGGGCCAGACTGTTAACAGAGCCAGTCTGGCTCTTAGGCACTCTTTGGCACTGCAACAAAACGCTCACAGCAGTCATCCCCAAGTGCTGGGACTGAAGAACGCATACTTTTCTTCTTTGTATTTCCCACATTTTCTATAGAGGTATTTTCTTTCATTAAAATTAGCTTTTACTTAAAAAATAATATATTAACACATTAAAAATATTTCTGAAGTACAAGGGGTATGAAATCACCTAGGAGCCAGATAGATGGGAGGTGGTGAATCAGATCCGATTTGATCCAATACAATAGGATGGGAAAGGCCTGAAGACTAGATTGAGGGGGAAAGATACCCATTGAATTCTGAACACATCTCATTTTTCCAGGTGTTGTGGGACACCCATGGAGACAGCAAGCAGGACACGAGACACGGGTGTGGTGACAGGTGCAGAGGCATGAGCACCTGATGGTCAAGATGGTCATTTTGACATGAAGATGATTGTGAGCTGAAGGCCACTAAGACTCTGCAGGCTCAAAAGAAACTTCTGCCCCTCCCTTAACCATGCAGAAGAATCTAGACTGGGGCTTTCCCAGAATGAAAGTTACCAGCAGAGATCAACTTTATGTGAGTGACCCATCTGTACGGCAGGACGAACATCTAATTACCAACATTTGTTTTTCTTGTCACCATGAAGTACACTCCTTTCCTCTGAAGTTCCAGGTTCCTGTCCCCTTCTCTTTAGTTCAGGATGACATTTGCCTGTGTAGATTTCCTGCATGTACACTATTAAATTTGACTTTTTCCTCTTAATATGTCCCAGGTCAATTTGATCTGTCCCAGGTCAATCTTAGTCAGCTAGAAGGACTCCTGAAGGGGATAGGAATTCTTACTCCGTGACAGGGGACATACGGGCTGAAGATCTAGATGTGGTGTCAACAGCACGCAGATATATCACCAAAGCTGTGGAAGACATTTACTGTTTCTGCCTGCCTGTTCCCTCTATCCCTTTTTTGGGTAATAGCAACCCATCTTTTCCTTTGGAGAAACACCCTACCGGGCCTCTGTAGTCTTGGTGAGAAGGGCAAAATGCCTGGCTCTCCAAGAGGTGGGCACATCCATCAGGCTAAAGAACATTTCTTGAGGTCAAACCTATACTTCTGTTGCAGGTAATTCATGATGCCTAGTAAGCCTGCAGTGCCCCAGCCATTTAGCAAATGGCCTTTGCTGCTTGGGAGCCATTGCTCAGTTCTGAGTCTGAAATTCAGAAGCTGCCTGGGAATTCCTGGCAATTGGTAGAGGCTCTGGTCTCCAGTCTGAGAAGGTCTGGTTGTTTAGCGTTGCTGTCTGTTGAGGGATCTTTCTGATATCCTTTCCAAGAGAAGCACAGATTTCTCTCGTGTCAGACACAGCATCATCCTGGAAGAGCATGTAAGACAAGAGGAGTGGGAGAGGTGAGGTCCCTGAGGACCAGCAGCTGGGCAGAGGAAGAGCAGCTGAGATCATGACCCTGGGTGCAGGGCTACAGAAGCCAGAAGGGGACTGGAGTTAAGGAGGTCATGTCCAGTGTCAGTGCTCAGAACTCAAGCAACAGAAGACTGAGAAAGAAGTCACTGGATTCAGCAACAAAGAAGTTACTTGTGACCTTGGCAAGAAGTGTTTCAGTGGGGATGGAAGTCAGACTGTGGTGGGCTGAAGAGAGAGAGAATTGAAGTAGTAGAGATACCATGGTTCTAACGGGGAGGAAAGGACAGGAGCTTTAGAGGGGATCTGGGGAGAAGAGGGCTTTTTGGGTTTGGGTTTTTTTCCCATTGCTTTTATTTTCTAAAGGATGTGAAAAGATATAGTATGTGTCTGCATGTATGGAAAAATGGAGTGAGTACGAGAACAAGGGCAAGATGAGAACCAAAGTGTTATCAGAGTAAGGACTGGTCTCAGAGAGAAGGGGCAGGAATGGCTGTGGAGATGGGCCAAGAGTAAAGGACCCATAATAAGACCTTATTTCCAAAGCCTTCCGAGGACACTGGTGCACCTTTCTCATGAAACCTTTCCTTTTTCCCTCAGGCAGAATCAGACATTCATGAATGTGTAAGCAGAGAATGAAGAAATACTTTAACAAATTAGAGCTAATTGTCAACGCTTAAGAGGGAAGATCGGTTAAGAGAACATGCAGGGCAAGGAAAGAATTCTTGGAGTTAGGCTGAGCCAGGAAACTATAATACAACACCTCCAATGTAGAATAAGTTGAAGATTTATCAAGACTTAACACAAATTTAAAAACTCAACGCAGGCATTGTGAACTGGCAGATAAAGTATGAATGCCTGAGGCTTACCTCCACAGCCTTGGAGCAGGGGCTCTTTACATTTCTGGTCATTGTTTTACATGGGTAATACACTATAGATTTCAACGGGCAGAACAGGAGGTCCAGGCTGCCCCCACCCAACCCCGCAGATACCCCAATGGGGCTGCCCCACAGATCTCTCATTTAGAGGAACCTCCCTGCAGGCAGACAGTGAGAGCAGCCTTCAGCCGCACTGCCTTGGTCCAAATTCCGGCTGCACCAGTTACTAGCTGTGTGACCTCAGGCAAGTTACTGTGCTTCTCTTGTCAGTTTTCTCATCTGGAAAATGAAGATGATAATGGTATGCTCAGGAGACCATAGAGAGGATTAGACGGAGTTTGTTGACACACAGTAAGGGCTATAAAAGTATGAGCTTTTATTATTATCCTCCATTTAAATGTTGTTCTCCATCTGTTCCCTGCCAACTGGATTCAGTGGGGTGACATTAGAAATAGGCAATAATACCTAATCAGTGACTCAAATCAGAAAGCAGATTCTCACTGTCCACTTTCACTCACTGCTCATCCTGTTCGCATTTAATCTTTCCTTGAAGCCTGATGTCTTCCACTTTCAGTCTGCTACCTTGCTCTCCAGTCCTACGGGCCACCTGCTCTTTAGATCACTGCCTACTCAGGCCGGGATCACTGTGCTATCCAGGTTCTAACCCAGATAATTGTTCTAAAATAAAATGGTCATTTCTCTTCTCCTCCATAGTCCCCATGATTCTGAAAATACTACTGCCCCCCTCCTCCAGCCTCTAGGATGAAGACCCTTCATGATGGGATTCCTGCTATCACCTGCACTTCAAACTCCTTATGCCCAAAACTAAACTCCCCCCATTCCCCAAACTTACTGGCTTCCTGGGTTTCCCTCCCTAGTGAATGGTGCCACCTACTGGCCACTCACTCATTCAGGCCAGGCAGCTCTGACTAGCAAGCTCAGTCGAATCCGGCTGAACCAAGATGCTGTGGCCCCTTAGATGCCTCTCTCCGCTTCAGCCACCGTTTCAGTTCCAGCCTTCATTTACATTCATTCAAATGTCTTCAAACTAGACTCTCTTACATTCTCCTCCCTCCTCATCTACTTTCTAAGGGGCTGCCAGAGTGGTATAAATGGTCTCCTGGCACATCACTATTTTGCTTAAGAACAAAATGCAAGTTATTTAACAAGATTCTCTTCTTGAGTTCCCTTGGATTCTTTCCAGTCTCATCCTCGTCCCTTCCCACTTCCCACGTCAATGTCTGACTTTCAAAACCCAGTTTAGACAGAACCTCCTCCAGGAAGCTGTCTGAGACATCCCCCTGAGCCTCCAGACCAGACTAGGCAACACTTCTGGGTGTCCACATGACATCCTGTGCCTCTGCTTATACATAGCACTGGGAAATTCGCTAAATTTCTGTGGAAGGAAGAGTGAGGGTTGAGGACAAGCAAGGCAACCTGACACACTGCAGTCCCACAGCACAGGCCAGGATGCTGCTCTTTTCCCTATCCCAGATCTCTACAAGGACACCATGCATTTTCTCCCCACTACTGCACTGTAGGTATAATCAAGACAAAAAAAATGCTACTAGGACACAGCTGTCAATTATAAGACACAATGATTTTCTCACGGTGCTAAACTGTGGGAAATACTATCTAGGAGTCAATGAGAAAAGTAGTGATAAACAAAAGGGACAGTCTCTGCTCTCCTGTCACTTCTATCCTAGTGAAGGGCGTGGCAACGGAAAGATATTGTCAGGTAGTGGTAAGTGCTATAATGAAAAAGCCAGTTCAAGGGACACAGATGAAGAGGGCTTTTGGGGTAGCCAGGAAAGGCCCTGGTGGGGAACCCATATGAGCAGAAACTTGAAGAGGAGAGTTGTGCGTAAACAACGTTCCCAGCAGAGGGAATATCATATACAAAAGACCTAAGAGGAAAATCTGCCTGATAAGTTCAAGAACAGGCAAGTGCAGAACACAGTCCCACACCGTAGGCAGCAAATTTCCTCAAGCCCAGTGTATTTCCCAGGTGAAAGCAAGTATGCCTGATTTAGTTAGGGTGTGAAAAGGGAAGACAGGGATCCCTGGGTGGCTCAGCAGTTTAGTGCTTGCCTTCAGCCCAGGGCGTAATCCTGGGGTCCTGGGATGGAGCCTGCCCCCCCCCCTCGCTCTGTGTCTCTCATGAATAAATAAATAAAATCTTTTAAAAAAATTAAAAAAAAAAGGGAAGACAAGTTGAGGCTGAGAGAAGTGGCCTCAGTGACCAGGAAGGTGGGTGTGGAGTCAGATGGCCTAGATTTGAATCCCAATTCTGCCACTTACAAGCTGTGTAACCTTGGGTGAGTTATCTAACTTCTGATCCTTAGTTTACTCAGCTATAAAATGGACAAAATAAAAGCAACTGCTTTGCAAGTTGGTTACAAAAATTCAATGAGTCAGTCCTTGTAAATCAAGATACAAATGATCATTATCATCACCATCTTTTACTCCAAAGTCATTTTTATAATTGTATCAAGGTAAGGAATAACATATTTGAGACCTAGGAACATTTAAGACTACTATTCCAGATTACCAGCTGGTAGGATGGCAGCCACATTATTGGGAAAATAAAATTTTTTAAGGTTTTGAACTTGCCTTCTCCAAAGTTATTTTTGAAAATTTATTTATTTGAGAAAGAGAAGACACAGAGGGAGAGGGAGAAGCAGACTCCTCACTGAGGGGCTTGATTCCAGGACCCTGGGAACATGACCTGAGCCAAAGGCAGATGCTTAACTGAATGAGCCTCCAAGGCGACCCCAAAGTTATTTTTTATATCAGTTATCTTCCTATGTATATTGTGTTTGGAGTATAATTTTATGAAATTAAGTCTCCTCTATTCAGTTATGATACATGAAATAGGAAGTACTGAAGGAATTTTGTATACAGCTACCATAGCTGATTAAATATTACAACATGCAGTAAATTAATACCAAGTTAATTTCCTAAATATACAAATTCTGCATATAAGCTCGGGGCTTTTTTCCATGGTTGAAAGACCCCATGTTGCTAATACAGGAGGCATATCTAGCTTTTTATTCCCTCAGATGAAATGTTTTGTAGCTTTTCTATCTCATTCTGTCACAAGGTATCACACAATGAGCCAGGCCTGTGTGTGATGACTTGAAATTTCAGGCC